ATAGCCAGGCAGCTTTTCTTCATCCATAGTTGTGATTTTAGATTAGTCACAACTAAAAGTTTTTCTTAATGTTGAATTTCCCTCATAATTGTATATAATTGTACATAAAGTTGCATATAAAGTTGAAATCATATTAGTTTTTTATTTATTTTTAATCCTTACTTGACACGCGATTTTCCATTGATTTTTAGATAGAGTGGTACAGAGGGGCAAAGACAGAGACATCGATATGAGAGAGTGTGCCCTTGACCAGAATCGAACCCGAGACCCTTCAGTTTTCGGGCCACTGCTCTATCCACTGAGCCAAACTAGCTAGGGCTGATTGTGTGAGTTTCTTTAAAACCAGATTTGCTAACATTTATTGTAATATGGATAGCAAAGTAATAAGCAATGGACTGCTCCCGTCAGCACGTGACAGGCTTGCTCAGCTCCCTCCCAGCTCTGTCTCCTGTCAGGGCTTCATTGCTCCACCCCTTTGCTTCCCTGGATACGGGTCTTTCCATGGCCTTCCTGCTTTCCCCACCAGGTCTGGCGGTCCTCTCCTCTCTACCATCATCACTCCTTCACCTTCCCTCTACTCTGAGTTCTGCCCTCCATTTTCAGTTTTGTAGTTTTGTGTAACCACAGGTCCAGAGGGCTTACTAAGTAAGGCTTGGGGATATACCCTCCAAAGAGAATCTGTTCAGTGAATGAACCTATTTGCTTAAGGGCAGGGCCTGTAAACAACTACCTATGAGAGTGTTGTGTAATCGAGTAATCTCGGAGGAAGTGGTTAACTCTGCCTGCCTGTGGGGATGGGGATAGCCTTTGAGAGGAGGTGAAAGGTGGCGGTTCTGTGATAAGTGGCTGGAGGAGCTCTAAGTGGGAGAAAGTGGGCATTTCAGACGGGAAAGCATCCACAAACACCGTGCTCCACAGATGGGGACTTCACGCTTCCCCAGTGCTTCCTCTCATGAACTGTTTTTAACTCTTTAAAGATAAACGTGATTTTTATGTATCAAATAAGAATAAAAGGTACTATTTCAAAAACAAAGTTGTATTTTCTAATTTGAATTTAGAAAAATTTATATGACTGATGTCATTTAACTTTTAAATTTAATTTAATAAAATAAAAACCCTAAAAGCATAGAGTAATCAGGAAGTTTTAATTGTTGTTGTTGTTGTTTTAGCAAATTTTCATTCTCATAGTCGTACCTCTATATTTTGGTGCTGTGTCTTGATTCATTTTGGAATGGAAGTTTCACTCTGGACTGTACTCAAATTGTTTTTATCTTACTCAATACATAAAGTATTACTACCAAGATAAATACAGGCAACAAATTGTTGTGGCTATAGAAAGGAGATCTTCAAGTAGCAGGATTCATCTTCAACTGGCAAATTAATGCTCTTTCAGCGTTTCTAAAATTGATCAACTTTATAATCTAGTACAGTGATGGCAAACCTAAGACACGCGTGTCAGAGGTGACACGCGAACTCATTTTTTTGGTTGATTTTTCTTTGTTAAGTGGCATTTAAATATATAAAATAAATATCAAAAATATAAGTCTTTGTTTTACTATGGTTGCAAATATCAAAAAATTTCTATATGTGACACGGCACCAGAGTTAAGTTAGGGTTTTTTAAAATGCTGACACACCGAACTCAAAAGGTTCGCCATCACTGATCTAGTCACTGATTTTGTTCTTCTAATGTACAAGGAACTACAACAGGACATAGCGGTGTCCATAATTTCTCCCAACTGTAATGGTACTAATGATTTAATGATAAATCAGCATTATAAAGAATCATTTAAAAGCACTAGGGAGTATGGGCAGAACATAAGCTCATCTAGAAGATGTGACAAAACCATGTGAGTCAACTTCACAATAAAGTTTACCAGGGAAAAATTTCCAGGATACCATATGCTAAGGCCAGAAGAGTGATACATATAGCAGAAGGTAAAGTACTGTGAGCACTTGTAGAGAAACAGAAAAAAATCATTCTAGGCTAAGAGGTAGAGGAGTGCTACCTTGGTGAATGAGGTAGGTATGGAACACAGTTTATTGGAAACTAGAGGCCCAGTGCACGGACTCGTGCTGTGGGGGTAGGGGAGGAGGGCTCAACCTGGCCTGGGCCCTCTCACAATCCGGGACCCCTTGGGGGATGTAGCAGTGCAGCCAGGGAAGAGCCTGAGCCAGCGCCTCGCCGCTTGCACTCATCTCGGCCCACTGCGCCTACTGACTTGGAGTCTGGAGGAGAGATCCCCCCCCTCCCCCCCGCCCACGCTACAGCTACGCTCACCAGCTGTCAGCCCAGCTTTTGGCTGAGCAGCACTCCCCCTGTGGGAGCACACTGACCACCAGGGGGCAGCTCCTGCATTGAGTGGCTGCCCCCTGATGGTCAGTGCGCATCATAGCGACTGGTCGACCGGTCATTCCAGTTGTTCGGTTGTAACAGTCGCTTAGGCTTTTATATATATAGATGATAGAAAGTGTGTATTTGGGGATTGAATATTAATTCAGGAGAGACATTTGAGATCACACACATAAATATCAAATCACATAATTTTAAATAGAAGTGTTAGATATGAAATTCAGATTGGGGTAGTATGGACTTCTTGGAGGCAATATTAAGTAGTCTATTTGGGCTGAATTTGGTGGATTTGGATAGTGTATCATCATTAATCTTTGCCCAAATTCTAGAGACTTAAAAACTAAAATATGTGTTAGTTCCTGATCCTATGGGTGGCCAGTTTAGGCTAGGCTCGGAGGGGAAGCTCTGGGCTCACGGCTGCTGCCGACAGCTGGTCTGGACTGCGGCTCAGTGTTCCAGGGGGCCTGCGTTATGGGCAGGTGTAGCTATTGGTCAGACACCTCAGTTCTCTGCTATGTGATTTGTTCATTTGGTGGCAGGTGGCAGGGGTTTGAGAGGGCGAGAGTGGGAGCAGCAAGGCCTTTTGAGGCCTCACCTCAGAATAGCCGCACTCATGCCGTTTTCTACTGGTCAGTATTAGGCCAGCCTCTGACTTACGGGAGTAGAGAGTCTGTGTCCAGTTTTAATCTGCTATTTAAGGAGTGCACTTAAATGTGATAAAACGCTTAGGATGGCTCCTGAATATAAATGGTCTTGAATGTAATCTGGCTTTTCTTTCATTCTCAATCTTTTGGCTTCTTCAACTTTATTAGCATCTTATTACAAGTGATAGCCAATGTGCTAATGGAGAGGACCAGGGGATGGCTAAGTCCTCATTTTTGGTTTGTTCTCATTATGGAGGATTAGGATCTGGATTTACTCTAATTTTTCTCTCGTGTGTTTATTTTTATGGGGGGAGCAAGGGAAGAGATGGGGAGGAAACAAGGACCCATGGATCATGCATGATTTTAGTGCCTCGGGCCTCTTCCAGGTCATACTCCAGCCACGGAAGTTAGTGTGGGTGATGGAGAGGCCTACATGGGAGAGCTGCTGAAATCTGCTGTTCAGTTGAAACTTTGGTTCTGCATACATTAGATGTTTAAAATGTCCTCATAAGGGAAACATAGATTGACAAACTAGTGCTATGCCATCTTTTACAGTGTAAATAATAAAAAAAAAAAATAAGTTCTGTGTGATAGTTCATTTACAGACTAAATCTGCATTTTATACCGAATTGTTAGGTTGTTCAAATTCTGATCTTTCATAACACATGAGTAGTGAGCAGACCTATTTCATGTGTGAATTGATATGAACAAAATTGCTTTAAAAAAAAAAAAACGAGATGTGAATTGATTGAACTTGGTATTTTTACTCTTATATAGATTAAGAAGTGGTGCCATTTTGCTCAGGTTATTTCTACCTTTTATGCATGTAAAAGATAGTTTTGTTGTAAACCATTTGCAGCGAGAAGGAGACTTTATCTTTATTTTTATTGAATTTATTGGGGTGACATTGGCTAATAAAAGTATAGATCTCAGGGATACAATTCTATAATACATCAGCTGTATATTGTATTGTGTTCACAGCCCCAACTCAAGAAGAAGGATACTCTTTTTTTAGCACTTAAATGTTTCAGTGAGGTTAAGCCATCTCTTTTTGACAAACTCAGTCAGCAGAATCTCTTGGACATTTGTTTGGGGCTCAGGACATCTTATTTTGGTGGCGTCTTTTCCAGTTTTGTTGCGATATAATTGACATGCAGCACTGCATACGTTTAAGTTGTACAGCCTGATTTGACTTACACATAGTGTGAAATAATAACCACAATAAATTTAGTTAAGATCCATCAGCTCATAGAGACGCACAGAAAAAGAAGAAAAAAGGAAAAATAGGTTATTTTCCTTGTGATGAGAACTCTTGGGATCTACCCACTTAGCTTAGAAATATTTTCAAGCATTCAATAAAAGTTATGGAATCAAAACAACAAAAAAACCCCTTAGAATTAAAAAAGAAAAAAAAGGTGTCAGAATTCATCAGCATGCGTCCCAGCGATAAGGAATCCCATTGTGTTGGTGGCACCAAGGCGAGCATGGCTAATGTGGCCTTGAATTGGCGCGACACAACTGGCCTTTCAGAGACTCCAGCTCAATTCAGTTTTAAACACCTGCTTGGATATAAACACCCTCTATACCAGTGGTTCTCAACATTCTGGCCCTTTAAATACAGTGACCCAACCATAAAATTATTTTCGTTGCTACTTCATAACTGCAATGTTGCTAATGTTATGAATTGTAATGTAAATATCTGATATGCAGGATGGTCTTAGGCGACCCCTGTGAAAGGGTCATTCGACCGCCAAAGGGGTCTCGACCCACAGGTTGAGAACCGCTGCTCTTTACAGTTGGGAAGTTCACGGAGCTCTTAAAGGAAAGTATATTGAATAAGACATTATATTGTTATTCTAATTTTACAAAGGCACAAACTGAAAACCGGGCACTGTGAACTCTCTTACTCTGGTCCCAAATCGCATCTTGTTTCCACCGCATCCTGTGTCCCTTCTGAACGGCTGGGTGGGCCGAGGGTTCAGATGCTTAGTTTGTGTGTTTCCTTCTCCAGATGTCACCAGAAGTTTGATTATCACCAGTCCTGACCACATGATTGAAAAGGCCAAAGGGGAAACTGCCTATTTGCCCTGCAAATTTACTCAAGGTCCGGAAGACCAGGGACCGCTGGACATCGAGTGGCTGCTGTCCCCAGCCGATAATCAGAAGGTGGATCAAGTGGTAAGTTGGCCGAGTTCTCGCTCGCTCAGCAGCTGTCTGTGGAACTTGTCTTCGGTGCCCGTCACTGCGCTGCCCACATAGGCTAGGGGGCACGGGAACTTCTGAAAATCAGGATTGTCAAGTGTGGATGAGTCAGGAAGTAGTGGAGCAGACATGATGGCATGGCAGAAATGTGCATAGTGTGCGTTAAGGGTCGGCAAGCAAGTTAGACTTTGTGAAAAGTTGATAGGATTGAGTTTCTAACTTTTAACACAAGAGTTCTGATACCAGTATAAGGGTCATCAAGTGTAGCAGGGTATAACAGTTACACATTATTGCAGAGTCTGTTCTCCATTTTTATTTATTTATTTATTTTAATCCTCTCTGGAGGATATTTTTCCATTGGTTTTTAGAGAGAGAGAGAGAGAGAGAGAGAGAGAAACATCCATGTGAGAGATACATCAATTGGTACCTCCCACAGGTGCCCTGACCCAGGCCAGGGATTGAGCCCACAACTATCAAAATATTGTTATAGAAAAATCTTTAATTATAAAATAATAAGAGCCCAATGGAAAGTCAAAAGTAGCACAAAGGAGGAAAATTGCCCAATAATCTCATCTCTAAATAAATATATATGTATATCAATCACCCTTTGCCTTTTTATGGTACCAAAATATTTCACTTAATTTAGAATATTGCATATTAGCTTCATCTGACACATTTAATAAAAAATAAAGTCAATGTTAATAAATTATATTAGACCAGGGAGAAGGAAATAAGTCCACATATTTGGAGGAATATGGTAATACATTTAACCCTTGAACAACACAAGTTTGAACTGTGCAGTTCCATTATACATAGATTATTTTAATAAATGCTCTAAATGTATTTTCTCTTCTTTATGAATTTCTTAATAACATTTTCTTTTCTCTAGTTTACTTTTTTTTTTGGTAAAAATACAGTATTGAATGCATATAACATATAAAATATGTCCTGATTGACTGACTGTGTTATTGGGAAGGTTTTCAGTCAGTGGAAGACTGTTAGCAGTTAACTTTTTGGGCAGTCAAAAGTTATATATGCAGCCCTGGCTGGGTGGCTCATTTGTTTGGAGCATTGTCCCGTACACCAAAAGGTTGCAGGTTCAATTCCCGGTTGGGACGCGTAAAGTGAGGCAACCGATTGATGTTTCTCTCTCCCCCTTCCTCTCTCTCTAAAATAAATTAAAACATATCCTCAAGTGAGGATAAAAAAAAAGTTATATGCAAATTTTCTACTCGGTGTGGGGTGGGTGCTGGTAGTCCTAAACCCTGCATTGTTTGAGGGTCAACTATGTACATATTTAGAAGAGAAATTTTATTTGTGATCCATGTAAAAGAAGGGGTGGGTTATTCAGCCAGTTAATGGCTGAATCAGGGCAGTAAGGTAATTACTATTTTAAGCAAATCCAGGCAGTTTGCCCGTGATGTATTTGTGAAGGAAATAATTAAGGTACTTTCCCAAGTTGAAAATGACCAGGGCCACTCCCTCCAAGGACACACCTCTGTCCTGGTTCTGCTGCTGGAAATTCCTTCTGTCTCCCTCAGCAAAGTAAATTGGAATGGACTCATTCTGTCTGCTCAGCCCAGATGCCCTGTTTCCTTCCTCCTTGCCTTCCTCTTCTCACCCCACCCCCACCCCTTTTCCATGGAGGGCCAGCACCGTTGAACACAGGCTTCTTTCTACCTGAGGCCCTGCGTACCCTCGCGGCCCTGGCAGCACAGTGCCCATCTCCCTTTCCAGCCCAGGACTCCGCCCTCCTGGTTAAGATGAGTGGATGGAGAGTGCGGGTCTTACTTAAATGCTTTTGGCTTAAGACGCATAAGTGAAGCCATAACGAGGTGCTTCTAGAGACCAAGAAGCCCAGTGTGTGTCCATAGTCTTATGTGTCTGTTCCTGGGAGGGGTGGGAGGCACACACAGCCTTGCTTCCTGCAGGACTTGTGAGATAGTAGGAAACCAGGGTTTAAGCGTCCACTTATGGGTTACAAAAACGAGCCTTGGAGTGTAACGCAGTACAACTGGGCCCAAAGAAAGCTAGAAGGGTTAGGGAGAGATGGGTACAGAAGAGGATGCCTTCATAGAACTTAGCTACATTATAAACTGTTAGCTGTGCCCTTTTAATCCTGTATAATAAAAGCCTAATATGCTAAGTGTCCAGTTGACCGGTCGGCCATTCAACCAATCAAAGCGTAATATGTTAATGATATGCTAAGGCCGCTCAACCGCTCACTATGATGTGCACTGACCACCAGGGGGAAGATGCTCCAACCAGTAGGTTAGCTTGCTGCTGGGGTCCGGCTGATCGGGACTGAGCAAGATGGGCTGGACATGCCCTGGAGCCCTCCTGTGGTCCCTCCCTGGCTAGCCAACCTCCCATGCCTCTCCCCAGCACGGGTGGGGTCTCTTAGCCTGGCCTGTACCCTCTTGCAATCTGGGACCCTTTGGGGGATGTTGGAGAGCTGGTTTCAGCCCAATCCTGCAGGCCAGGCAGAGGGACCCCACTGTTGCACGAATTGGTGCACCGGGCCTCTAGTTTATTTATATTAGCAGGCAGTGTGGTGGGGCACTGGGCTGGAGAAATTTCCATCCTTACTCCTTATGTAATCTCTTCAGGCAGTAGACAGCATACCATGGACTGTGTACTCTTTGCTCTGTGGTATTTGATATGCTTTAATTATATGTATTTCAGCCTTAAAACAACACTCTTAAAATGAGAATTATTGTTGTACACACGAGGAGGAGAAAACGGAGGCCCGGAGATTTGAATGAACACTCTCAGGGTCACACAGCTGGCAACATTGCCGTTGGGGTTTGAAGCCAGGTTTCTCTGACTTGCCCCCCTTTGCACCTTATTGTCCTTTGCACCGTCCTGTACTGCCTCCCATGTTCCAGAAGCCTCTGTTTCCTCAAGTGTAACATGGGAACAAATAAACCTACCTCTCAAGACTGTAATGCGAGTTTTCTGAAATACTGTATGCATAAGTGTTGCAAGCCTACCAGTCATATGGAAATGTTAATAAAATACGGTGCCAGCTCAAAGGGATCTGGTTGGCATCTTAGCTGTGTGACTTTGTAAAAGCTGATCTGGGAGAGTCACAGCTTCCCTGCAGCTAAAGGATAACTGTGGGTAAGACCACCATCCTGCAGGGTTGTGAAGAGAAACCAAAATTGCCTAGTAAATGTTTGTTAGTTCCCCGTTTCTTAACTGCCGTTCATAACCTTGTCTCTGTGGGAAAAGACTGTGATAGTTTACAAAGTCGCTACCAGTGGGGACACATCTTATTTGTCAAAGACTACTAAAGTGTGTGAGTAGCAAAATGGGGCATTGAAAGTACTGTAGATTGAACTTCCTGGGGAGCCCATGGTTAAATACAAAGGAACATAGGGCAGCCTCCTTGGAGGAGTTAGTACTGCTGTTGACACATGGGTGTGGCGAGAAGATTGAGCAAATAGAGTAATGGCCGTGTTTACAGAGTAAGTCAGCTATGCACCTTCAGATGTCTACTGTGATTGAGGGCTTCCTCCAAGCAAACACTGAATATATAAATAAGAGATCTTGAGTGAGTTAGGATGGGGGTCAACATGGTAGGAAGGTGATAATACAGAAAGGAACCCAAGTCCCTGCCCCCAAGAAATTTCTACAGAGGACATTTCTTTTGATTGTACTCTTTTCCATAATTAACATCTCAGATAAAAAATAATTTGCAGAATATAGACTGTAGTCATGTTTCTGGTTATTATTTGAGTTTGGCACCCACCGCTCTTTGGCCCTTGGGTCTCAGATGACCCGAATGAAGGATTTCTTAGCACATGTGAAAAATTATAAAGTGTGTTGAGTTAATGTTATTTATACTTAGAGGTGACTATTATTATTCTCTTCCAAGCCAGGTTTAATACAGAATTTATTTTCCCACTGAATTTAGCCTTCAGATATTTCCATTAAACTCAGAAAACTCAGTGGAATTAGGAAAGGGTCTTTGCTCTTCTAACAGAAGATTTAAAAGATCCTGTTACCCTGGGCACACATCTTAAGAGGTTTATTTTATGACCTTAATCTATTAGAGTCTAGAACCCTCAATTATTAAATATTAACCCTCCAGCTTAGTATTAAGACAAAAATATCTTTTTTTGTTTTTTTTGTTAGATTTCACAGGTAAATGATCGTAAGCCCTCTTTTGGGGATGGTGATGGTGTGTGCTTGCTTTTAGACACTTGATTGGCATACCTACTGCAGCCTCTGAGAAATAGTTATAGAAATTCACAATTCTGTGTTCTTGTCCAGTTTCACTAATACATCCAACACAGGGCCATTTTAATCATGTTTGGTCTTCGTTTCCACATTTACAGTGAGAGTGTTGACCACGCTCAAGGATCATATTGATCTCTCTCCATTTCCTTAATCTGTGCTTTGAATACCTGTAGTTTCCTCGTCTATGTGTTCTTACTGTTTTGGGGGGTCCTGCAGTGGCGTGGCGTACCTAGAGCTCCTTTAATGACACAGCTTTTGCTTCGTTGTTGTGTTCCTGTCTTATTTTGGTTTTCTTTTAGATTATTTTATATTCTGGAGACAAAATTTACGATGACTACTATCCAGATCTAAAAGGACGAGTACATTTTACCAGTAGTGACCTCAAATCCGGGGATGCGTCAATAAATGTAACAAATTTACAGCTGTCAGATATTGGCACATATCAGTGCAAAGTGAAAAAAGCCCCTGGCGTTGGAAATAAGAAGATTCAGCTGAAAGTTCTTGGTAAGTTATTTTTATTAATGTTATTTATTAACAGGGTGAGTTGTCACGGTAGGAGAGTAGCATTTATGTGAGACAAAGCTTAGTTTTTTAGAGTAATAATTTGAAACATCTGAAGTAACTCTGTCCTCAAATAACATAAAACTAGCTGCCTTTTTTGGATAGAAAAAATAAGTGACTAGTTTCTTGGTGAAATTCATAAAAGGGTTTGAAAGTAAGTGAAGAGGGTCTGTGATATAGGAAAAGAACCCTGAGCCAGGAGTTAGGGGATCCAGGTTTGTTTTGGTTTTTGTGTTTTCAGATTTGTTTTCAGATTTGTCCTGAGAATTAAAGAGCATCTTTATTTCCTGGGCTCTAGCCTACCTTTGTGAAACATGATGAGATGTAATTGTCATTAAATCTCTATTTGATCTCATTCAGTTCAAAATTGTTATGTGTACTGTAAACGTTCTCAAACTGCATTACCCAGCAAATAAATGTTTCTCTGATGACGAATTGGAGTATTTAGAATGGAGGATGGTAGAAGGAATATTGACTTGGGATTCGACCATTAGACACCAGAGCCATTTAACTCCTTGAGCCTGTCAGTTTTTTCATCCTCAAAAGGAGGGGATTAGTCACACGGTCACTTGGATGTCTTGTCTCGCTCTCTCAGATAGTTAAGAAGGGAGATAAGTGTAAACTTTTTGCAAGCTGTTCAAGACTGCAAAGTTTGCCATCCTTCTCTAGATTATGTGATCATGCACCAGCACCCTTCACCCTTCACATGAGAAACAAAATTCCCTTTGTTTTAGAGAACTAGTAAGGGGTTAAGCGTTTGGGGTTCCAGACTCATTTTGAACATCACTCTTCTCAGAGCAGGAACAAGAGCGCAGGTTTCTGTACACTTGGTGGCAACGTAGGGGCTGTCTGCTGGCAGCGTCATTGAGTGGGCACACGGGGGGTGGGGGGTGGGGGGTGGTAAAGGCACTTTGTTCTAAATGGCACCCATTTGAAATATTTCCTATGGTATGAAAGCAAGTGAACCTGAATGAGGAGCCAGGAAAAGGACTCTGGTAGCGTTGGAAATTCTAGCTTTCTGTGTCTGCATTCAGAAACATGGAGTTGCCTTTCTTTTTTATAAATGTGAAAGCAGGTAAAAGTTAAAGAAATCTGAACTCATGTCTCAGACCCAGGCATACCCGGGATTATAACCCTGACTGTATATCTTCTTTTAGCCCTCCTCTCCAGAAAGCATTGAGTTCAGATATATCTGGAATTTTAACTGGTTCGGGGTGTCCCAAGCAGAGTATACCAGTTAATCAGACTATCAGAATTTTTTGTTTTGAAGCCCCTGTTCGATGGGGCAGGTACATTGGAAGGGATGTGATCGGCATGTATTCCCAGAAGAGGTGTGGACAAGCTCAGTGTGTGTGTGTGTGTGTGTGAGAGAGAGAGAGAGAGAGAGAGAGAGAGAGAGAGAGAGAAAGAGAGATTGAGATTGATTCTATAGGACCAGGTCCTGGGTTGAATTGGTAGGTTTCCACAGAAAGTATCCTTATAGCACAGGCTGCACGTATCCCAGAAGGAGCTCAGCTTGGACAATAGTATGGTCAGGCACACTGAGGGCAGCAGCCATGGCTGTGGGGAAGGAGGAATGACACTGTTTCATTAAACGTCACAAGCTGGACATCGAATCCCTCGGAATGGATCAGCGAATTCCTCGGAATGGATCAGCGGGAGGCACTGACTCAGTAACCTCTCTCCTTAGCTCTGTGGGGAGTCCCCAGGGCCAAGTAGACCCTGAATGCAAACCAGAGAGGGAGCCCGGGTTAAATGCAGGGTGAGAGGAAGAAGCAGGAAGTGCATGCTAATGACTAGTGCTCCGATCCCGTGAGTGTGTCTCTGAGTCAGAGGACAGCTCCTTGTTTGTGGCGCTCCCTCCGTGTTGTCAGATGAGTCATGCTGTGGGAGAAACCACTACAATTTCCTTTGAGAGTGAGAGTTGGACAGATGCTCGTCTGTTAGCTTTTCCTGAAGTTCTGCTGAGACAATCTGTGGAGGAAAGACAAAGTGAAGTGCTCTCGAGGGACCAGACCAGTGGTAATCCAGTGGGGTTCTTGCTTGGTTCCCTGTGAGAGGCTCTGCGTAAACATTGACACGTTTGTGGGAAATCTGGAGATGCCCTCATGCTGTTTGCAGCGTAACCAGAGCTGCCTCATGAAGCTCCACGCGCTGGGTGGACCTGAGCCGGGATGACTGTCGGTTGCCTGGGGGTGAGGGGCGCTGTGCTGTGTTGGCAGGGCCCGCCCTGCTCCGTCAGATGCACCAGCCGTGCGTGTGGATGCAGCTCAGTCATGAAGCTGAAAGGGGAATGAATGGAGAACCCACAGCGTGAACAGTGCTGTGGCCACACCAGAGCCTTTCCCCACAACTCCAAAAGGGCCTGTTACTGAGACCTCTGGGATAAGCAGGCTGGGTTGTGAAGGGTAGAGCATTCACAGTAAACAGTTTCCTGGACGTGTGGTGGCTCAGTCAACGCTGGGATGTGGAAGCCATTAGTAGAGGGCAGGACTTTTTCTTTTCATTCTTTATTCTGAAATCACTTTAGTTTTATAGAAAGTTTCAAAACTACTAAGGAGTTCCTAAGAGTATACCCATCATCTAATTTCTTCTATTAACATTTCACAAAATCATAGTACAGTTATCAAAACCAAGAAATTAATGCTGGGGCAATGCCATTAACTAAACTATAGACCTTACTTGAATCTCACAGTTTTCTACGGAAGTCCCTTTGTGCTAGGACCAAGTCTAAGATCCACATGCATGTATGTCTCCTGAGTTTCCTTCGGTCATGTAAGGGCATGTGATGTCATGTCTCATTGACAATCATGATAACTCGGTTTAAATTTTATCTGATGGGTTTCTCCACTGAAAGCTTACGATTTTTCCTTCTGTAATTAAAAAAAGAAGTCTTGGGGAGCCACTTTGAAAGTATACAAATATTTCATTTCTCCTCAAATTTTGGCCAGTGATTTTTAGCATCTTTGCATGGATTTTGCCTGAAATTGGTGTTCTGAAGCAAGCAAAATGAGCATTTTTGGATGGATGGCATGGTGATGAAAGTATACAGGGTGGGGCAAAAGTAGGTTTACAGTTGCTCGTATGGAAAATAATGCGATAATAAGTTACAGAAGAATAAACTCTGTTCCACATACTCACAACTGTAACCCTTTTGCCACACCCCGTATATCCTGTTCCTTACGGGGACTTAGTGTGTGTTTCATATAGACTGAGATAGGCCACTAGCATGGAGGGATAATGATGCAAAACCTATATGGAGCACAGTGTCACTAAGTTGGTGGGACACTGGCCACCTACAGGTTGATGATGGTCATGTGCCCTTACCTGAGAAGAACTAGCTCTGCCAATGATCGCGGATCAAATGTTCTGAGGAAAATGGCCAGGGATCCTGGAATCCCAGACCAAAGGAACATTAGGGGATAAAACTTTATCTCTGTCCCTGTGTGGTTTTCTTTCTTTCTAACCATCAAGTGTCATGGGTGAAGAGTTCATCTTCCCTGTGGTGTCATGGTTGGGGTCAGAAAGTAGGTGGGCCACTCCTAGGCGACACTCAGAAACCATTGTTGGTAAAACCATGTTCTCTTGTGGATGGAGGATGTTGAGATCTCAAACCCAGTGGGGCCTTGGATGTCCTGAGCAGCCACTTAAAATAACTGTTCATTATGGGGTATGTTTGGTACATGGGAAAGGGCCATCTTTAGCAGAGAAGATGAAGGTTGGGGTTAGTATGCTGTATTACCAGTAGATATCTGGTGTACAAAGCATTGCTTTCATGTCCCACTGTGAGTTTATGTAATAAAGGATTTATTGGTAGTTTGAAGAAACGAAGAACAAAGCTCGTCTTGTTTAAGACTCACAGGATGAAATAATTTGCAAAACCTCTTTCAATGTCCAATTCATGTGGTCTCCAGGGCAACGGATCAATCTGAAAAGGAGACAGATTTGCTTAGGAAATCAGCAATGCCATCAAATGCATCTGTTGATCCTTCGAAAACAGTACAAGTAGTAACGGATGAAGGAGAGAAATACCACCAAATTGAAGAATTATCAAGAAGTGATAGATCTTGTTGGCCAAATGGGAGAAACGGTTCCATTTAGAGTTAAAGATATTCATACCATAGATGATCCAGCAATGACTGAGAAAAGGAAAGCATACCAGCAGCCACATGAGTGTTCGAGCAGTGATCTTCATCATTGTGCACCACTGTAAAACCCATTCACGTTTATTCATAGCAGTGAAAGAGTACAAACCCACCCAGGACTGGAAGAGTGAAAGTCAGCTCAGACTAAGAAAAAAAAAAAAGAAAAAAGCAGTCCTGCCATCTGTCAGGCTGGGAGGACAGGTCCAGACAGCCAGCTGCAGAGCCTTAGAGGGGACGTTGTTCCACTGCCTCCCCAGTGTCGCCCCCAGCCCCGTACCCATCCTTTACTGAGCAGGGTGCGCAGTTGCTAAATGGCCCTTGTCACCAGTGTCATTCCCGGTTCTCCTAACCTGCCCCAGAAAAGGCATCGGACTCGTAACCGATCTCTCTCCTTTGAGTCTCCCCTGGAAGCCTTCAGAATCCCTCCTCTCTCGTCCAATGACCTCCCACAGCTCCTACCAGCCCCTTCCTCACTGGCCAGTCAGTCTGGTTTTGACCGACGACACCCTGCTCCTGGTGAGCTTGGGGAGTTAGGCTTTAACAGGAGCCCGGAAGCTGGAATCCGTGTTCACCGACAGGAGTGGATCACTACGTTTCTTATAGTCCATGGAATACAGCTCAGCAGTGAAAAAGAATGGATTTTTAAAACACGGATCAATGTCAAAAGCCTTGCAATTAATAAAGAAGCTAGACAAAAGCACATACTGTATTATTCCATTAATATGACCCTAGAAGCAGCAGAACTAACCGATCCTGATGAAGTCCGGCCAGTGGCGCCTGGGGCCGGGTTGGTAGAGTGAGATGACTGCACCCAGCACAAGGGAACTGGCTTGGGAGCGGATTGGGGTGGCACTCAACAAGGTGTGTGCATGTGTGTGTAGGGGGTGCGTGTGGGGGAGGGTATGTGTGTGTGTTCGTGTGCGCACACATGTTTTGAACATGATCAACCCACACTATTAAAATGTGTTCCTTTTATTGTGTGTGTGCTATATGCTTTAGTAAAGTTCACCAAGAGAATATGAAGCACTAAGGTGTTAATTCAGTGTTGGGGTGAATTTCAGGAAATGGGGTTAGCAGCTTCTCTAAGCAGTCACCCAGGGAGACCTGGGAGATAGCCTCAGCTTTACCTTTTTATCTGTAACAGTGCTCCCCGGGTGGTTTGGGGTTGATGTAATGTACCAAGTGAATTGACCCTGTGGCCAGCATTTTTTATTATAATCCCCTGATTGGGACAGTAATGGCACCAGAAAGGTGTGACATGACACGTACTCCCATGTCAGGCGTGGGGTAGAGGAGGAGGTTAGGAATGGAGGAGGGCGCTTCCTTGAGTCTGAAGAGGTGCAGCCCACAGCGTGCTTGCTTTTTCCAGGTGTGCCCCGTGGAATAAGGGACACAGAGCCGGGCCTGAGATGCTGCCAGACCTCCCTGTGCAGTGGCTGCTTCCTGAGCCCAGTCTGGCCTGTTTTGTGTTGCATAACTGATTATAGTCATTCGGTCTTGTCAGCTCCGAACCAGAACCTTGTGATAATAGTCAGTGGTTGTGCAGCATGCTCGGTGTTTAAGAATCATTGTAAACAGAAAGTCTGTTTTTCTGTGTAAAGTTATAATTTATTTTCTCTTCTCAGTTAAGCCTTCGGGTACAAGATGTTACGTGGATGGATCAGAAGAAATTGGAAATGACTTTAAACTAAAATGTGAACCCAAGGAAGGTTCACTTCCATTACAATATGAATGGCAGAAATTGTCCAACTCACAGAAGCTGCCCACAGCACTGGTGTCAGGTACCGCCGATTAGACAGTCTGTACCGTGTGCCATAGATGTGGACTTAACTCTAGTGTGCGTGCGTGTGTGTGTGTGTGTGTGTGTGTTTTACATCCCCAGATACCCTCCCTTTTCTACACAGAACAATCAAGATTCCAAGACAATTTACTGTCATGTAGTATAAATAGGTATATTTTTATAACAGTTTCACTGTTTGAGACACTATAATTGGTTTCCTTGGTATATGTTTTTTAATGATAATACTGTCAGAAAACGTTCATGATCTTAAATTAATGACTAAGTTAAAAGGAGTTGGATCTTGAAAGTTTCATGAGCCTACCTTAGTGTTGAAGATACTGCGATTTACCCATGGTATGTCTGTTACAAAACAGACCAGAAGCACCCATGTGGCACTAACTGGAAAGTTATAAACTGGTTCAATCCAATTGCTCACTTTGTTATAACTCAGTGGTCAGCAAACTCATTAGTCAGCAGAGCCAAATATCAACAGTACAACGATTGAAATTTCTTTTGAGAGCCAAATTTTTTAAACTTAAACTATATAGGTAGGTACATTGTTATTAACTTAATTAGGGTACTCCTAAGGCTTAGGAAGAGCCACACTCAAGGGGCCAAAGAGCCGCATGTGGCTCGCGAGCCGCAGTTTGCCGACCACGGTTATAACTGACCTGTTATTCAAACTGGCCTCCACCTTCCAAGTAGGATTTCTCTGAGCCTCTGTTTCTTTTTTCAAGTTAAGAGGTAAACTGCATGGGCCCTTCTGACTTCTTTTGTATGTTTCTTCCATCTGGGGGGCGGGGCGGGTGGAATGGGTTTTGCAAATCTTACTGCACAAATGAACGGGATGCGCAGTGGTTTGTTTGCCTTCTGGAGACCTGCACGTGTCTTGCCTGCCTGGTGTTGGTTCCGCACCCAGCTTCTGCCTCTCTCACTTTTGCCTGGACTGTCAAGCCTAGCAGGGTTTGCCTTTACTGCAATTTCAGCAGTCCCGTAAACATGGGTTTCCCTCTGCCCCATCTCTCTTTTCATAGAAATGACTTCCTCTGTTATCACTGTAAAAAATGCCACCACTGAGTACTCCGGGACGTACAAGTGCACAGTCAGCAACAGAGTGGGCTCTGACCAGTGCCAGCTGCGCCTGGATGTTGTTCCTCGTAAGTACCTTCCGCCGGGGGTGGTAATGTTTGCTCCCCTGTCTTTATACAGCCCCCCGCCCCCCCATTCAGTCAGCAAGGGTGTATTGAGGCCAAGTGGATGCAAACTGTGAGCAGAGAACTCTGTGGCTTGGTTAGTAGCTTTCCTGAGTCACGGAAAGAAAAAAACTACATTTTATTAGAAAAACCTTCATTATTGTAGCAACATGAAGAACATGAGAGTTGTCAAGTCAACTCTTATACCATATTTAGCCATTGTAAGGATAAGCTATTTGGAACATCCTTATATGCCAACTCATATAGCTGGGAACATTAAACTCTTTTAATCTGGTTTGATCACATTTATGCTTAATATATATTATACAGCCCAGCTGGTATGGTTCAGTGGTTGAGCATTGACCTATGAATCAGGAGGTCACAGTTCGATTCCTTGAAATTAATACATAAAATATATTATATGGTTCAAAAGAAAGTTCTTTTAGTGGATTTTTTCCTTGGACCAAAAAGCTAATTAGTTTCTTATACAGACAGTCTTCAGGTTACGTTGGACTCGACATACGTTGTTTCATGGTTACATCACCATCTCCCATTTATTTATTAAAAAAAAAAAAGTTCCATCATTTCAACGTATGTACATGTGTGCTTTATGTTTTTTATTATTTATTTACCACAGTAAAGGTCAGGAATTGTTATCTTTCTTTTAAATTTGTTTTACTGTTTCACTTCATTACTGCTGTGTATGTGCTCCATGTGAGTGACGTAGGTGCTTATGTTAGGTGGGTTCCTACTTAGGGCGAAAATTGCATTACATCGCCCAGTAGGAATGGATCTCCGACGTAACCCGAGGACCTACTATAGTTAATGTATACAATGAGATCAGTCTGTCAGTGTGTGTCCTTACCTTCAATATGACTAGATAGAGTGGTGTTGTTTTTTACCATTACTTACTTATGAACATCTTATTCTAGCGTCAAACAGAGCTGGAACAATTGCAGGCGCTATTATAGGAACTCTGCTTGCTCTCATGCTCATCTGGCAATGAGATCAGTCTGTCAGTGTGTATCCTTACCTTCAGTATGACTAGATAGAGTGGTGTTGTTTTTTTACCGTTATTTACTTATGAACATCTTATTCTAGCATCAAACAGAGCTGGAACAATTGCAGGAGCTATTATAGGAACTCTGCTTGCTCTCATGCTCATCTGCGTGATCATCTTTTGCTGCCATAAAAAGCGCCGAGAAGAAAAATATGAAAAGGAAGTTCATCATGATATCAGGTAATTCAGTGACACCCGAGTTGATTGACGTGTAGTGTACTAAATTTATTATGTCTAAAGCGTTACTTCTCTTAACCATCTGAAACATTTGCCCCTGAGAACTGGATAAAAGCTAAAGCTCTTCCCTTCAACACATTTGAAAGCTCTCACTTTCCCTGGCAAGTGTGTAGATCCAATCAACCTCCATTAGGCTGTGCCCCCAGTCCCTCTCCAGTTCTGGATCCTATTTTAAGAACCACTACAAAATAGCTTATCTCAAAACCATTCGCCCTCTCCAAATCAAGTACAGGTATGGCATACTCCAAAAAAAAAGAAAGAAAAAAGACCTAATTACATCAAGTGACAGAACTATTGGTAATGTGATTTTTAACAAAATATTCTAAACCAGAAGATCTTAACTAGAAGTGTATGTTCGATTATTGAGCTTTAAGAAATAACATGTGACTGAGTAACACCCAGGAAATTGACATTTGGTCGGTATGAGGTAGGATCTGGGCACTTGCATTTTTAAAATGCACCAGATGTAACTCAGTCCTTGGTGTGAAAATTCTTCTGCCTGAATTCCTGTTTTTTTTTGCAGACTGGAATCTGCTGTTTTCAGCTAAGGTCTTAGATCAGTAGCTTTAGTAGCAAAAAGGATTTTTTTTCTTTTTTGGTAGAAATATATCTGTAGGTGATAGTGCTTTAGTAACTACTAGAGGCTTGGTGCACGAATTCATGCACAGGTGGGGTCCAGCTGGCTTGCTCCAATCAGGGCGATCGGGCTGGGCCAGCCAGGGGGAAGGGACACAGGCGGTTGGCCAGCCAGCCTTGCCCCCAATCAGGGCGGGGCTGGCTGGGGGGAGGGGCCACGGGTGGTTGGCCAGCCGGCCCCACCCCCTGGTCAAACTCCCAGTCGAACTGGTCGAGGGGACAGTTTGCATATTAACCTTTTATTATATAGGATAAAGTGTTACATGACTGTAATGAGATTATCTTGATGAGTTGTACTGGAATATGAACATATTTGAGGTTTGTTCCTTGTAAGACATTATAAAATCATAAATTTTTGTAAATACTGCCTTTCAGTATATGAGAAGTTCTATGTTCTGTAAATGATAACTAAGGGACAAATACACAGTTTGTGACATTATACTTTACTAGAGGCCCGGTGCACGAATTTGTGCACAAGTGGGTCCCTCGGCCTGGCCAATGATCGGGGCCATCGGAGCTAATTGAGGCCGGCCAAGCGGAAGGGACCACGGGAGGTTGGCTGGCCACAGGAGGTTGGCTGTGGGAGCACACTGACCACCAGGGTGCATCCTGAGTTGAGTGCCCCCTGGTGGTCAGTGCGTTGTCATAGCAACCAGTCGAAACGGTCACTTAGGCTTTTATATATATAGGCCTGGCCAATGATCGGGGCCATCGGAGCTAATTGAGGCCGGCCAAGCGGAAGGGACCACGGGAGGTTGGCTGGCCACAGGAGGTTGGCTGTGGGAGCACACTGACCACCAGGGTGCATCCTGAGTTGAGTGCCCCCTGGTGGTCAGTGCGTTGTCATAGCAACCAGTCGAAACGGTCACTTAGGCTTTTATATATATAATAGAGGCCCGGTGCACAAAAATTTGTGCACTCCGGG